GGTCCCTGATGCTTTGCCAAGCTTGTTCTAAGTAGGTGCTTTAGACCACTGAGCCATCTCTCCAGCCCCCTTCTGTATAGATTTAAGAATATGAATTTTTGGTACAGTTTTATTAAGCAATGAATTTGAACTACGTAGTGTAGGTGTTCAAATGCTTGTTAAATATGTTGTATCTACCTCTAGGTTTAGCATCAATGGTATGATTTAAATTGTCATATGAGGGGCCGGGGAGATGGCACAGTAGAACAAGCGCTCCCTGGCAAGTGCAAGGGCCCGAGTTCAATCCCCAGTTCATCAAAAAAAAAAGTTATTTGATAATTTGCTTATAATTACATACTGAAATTTCTGTAATGTAAATGTTATTAGAACATGTATCTTTTAAATATTTCTGAGCAGCAAAGGTAATTAGTACTATAACTTAAAATATTAATTTCTATTTTTATTTCAAAAAGTGTGGCCATTACACATGTCTAGCTCTTTGGAGCTTACTACGGTTTTGGCGGTGGCTCAGAGGCTATTCCCACCAACAACCCTAAATACTCGCCATGACCGCGCCTTCCTTAGGACATGAACACTGGCGCACCGCAGTCCCCTACACTGTTAATGTCTCCTTGTTGCATACTTTTCATAGGTAATATTTGATACATAAGAACTCAAGATAGTTTTAAGCCAACTTATTTAAAATGTAATTAATTAATTATTATAACTTTTTTTTTGAGACAACGTCTTGCTGTGTGTCAGGCTGTCCTTGGACTCACCAGTCTGCCCAGGCAAACTGATCACTTGATCTCTCAAGTTGGAAGGGAGCCTCTTGACTCAGCTTTCTCAATGCTGGGATTACAGGTGAACACCATCAGGCCTGGCTTCTAGCAAACTTAAAGTGAAATTCTATGCCATAATTGTTTTTTTCTTTCTTTTTGTAAACACTGAATTCTACTGTCCATTATTAGTAGGGCTACTACTCAGCATTCATTCAGTATTTCTTTGACCTTTATACCATTATCTTTGGGGCTGGGGAGATAGCTCAGCAGTCTAAGCACCTACCTGGCAAGCAGAAAGAATTGTGCTTTGATCCCCGAATTTGATCCCCAATACTGTAAGGCGTGCTAGCCCTGGAACCCCGAGTGCACCATCCTGGTGCAGAAACCAGAAGTAATGGTGCTCGCCTGTAATCCCAGCGCTGGGGAGACTGAGACAGGAGGATCACTACAAGTCTGAATTGCCAGAGTGAGAGTTTGTATCCAATAAATAAATAATATTAAATAGAGAAATTTATTACATATCATTATCTTTGACTACCTTTTTGTTTACCTTTAAAAGCTTTGCTTGCAATTTGACTTTTAGGTAGTTTCTCACAGGTATGTAGGATTTAAAAAAAAAATCTTTAAGGGGGCCAGCCTGATAGGTCAGTGGACTAAAGCACTCACTTCGGCAGACCACAGGGGCCGGAGGTTGGATGCCCCGTGTGTAGTGCTGGCCCCACCCTGGGGCACACTGAGAATGCGACTGAGACAAGGCGTGGTGGTGCACGCCTGTAATCCCAGCACTTGGGAGGCTGAACCGAGGAGGTTCACTATGAGTCTGATCTACATAGTGAGACCCTCTCCTAAATACAGGAAAACAAAACAAAAAAAACCTTTAGAGTCCTTAACTTTCAAATACAACAGCTTAGCTCTATTCACATTAATTGTGATAGTGAATGTCTGCCATTCCCTTTGAAATCTGGTTTTACACTGTGTTTTACATATTTCCTAGCTGTTTTGTTGTATTACTGTCTTTTGCTATACAAACGCTTTCTTTTTACTTGAATTATTCGAACCTATATACTGTATTTATTAGTATCTTCTACTTTTTTTTTTTTGCGGAACCAGGGATTGAACTCAGACCCTACTGAGCCATCTCCTCGGCCCTCTTCTACATTTTCGGTGAACATATTTTTCTTATTGGCAGGCAAGACCAAGAGTAAAATATGGATACAATACACAGTGTGATAGAAATCTAGCATGGTTTGAATTATTAATTAAAATTGGCATTTTCTAATTTATACAGTCCAGATACAGAGTAATACAGATTCTCTTAAGACCAGCTGTTTATATGAAAAATGATTAATACTGGTGGGTGAATACCTGGCTGAACCATCACCGGTGTCCGAATAATTGCCTTTCCTAGTGCTGGCTGTGGAAGTGGTGTTCTAATCACTGTCATACCAGGGTGGATCTGAGGCCCTGTGAGTACCTATAAATGACACAAAGGATAAGGAATTAAAATATTAAAAAAAATTGAAGTATGATGGACTTAGAAAATGAGATCTTTAAACATTCTATACTGATAAAAATGTCTATAAAAAAGAGGCTCATAGATATCACATTTTAGTTATATTAAGCATCAGAATAAAGATAAAATTTTGAGAACAAATTTAATTTACTTCCAATAAGAGCACATGAAACTCCTTGCCATTGGCACCTACGACGGCCGGCAAATGGCAAGGCCAGCCATGCCTCAGCAAGGCTCTGCTCCCACGAAATGCTGAGCCCGATTTTCTTGCAGTTCTGATCTGTATCTGCAACCCAGAGCAAGATGGAGCCAAGCAGCCAAATGTTCTTTCAGCTGCAAGTGGGAGTCTATGGAGCATGCTACTTCAGTTTTATAGGCAGAACATTTTCATGTCTGCAAAATTTTAGACCTTTTCCATAAAATTAATACCACAGCCCAATATATTTAATAACTGTGAATACCAGCTGATAACTGGTTACAGTATGCAAGACTGTATTGTTTATTTTCTAATGAGGCTACACAGCACATTTCCTTGCATGACCCAGTACTGTCCATTGATTTATGCATGGTTTACTTATAAAACACCAGAACATAGTTATTATTAAACTATGCTAACATACCAGTAAGGACATGTTAAAAATGAATACTTCATATAATAACGAATGGATTTTCTCCATTACTTCCATACTTTGTCACAGTTCCCACAGCAGAAAGCTCTTACTTGTGATGTACTTGTGGCTGTGCCAGAGGCAGAGGTATTAGGCCTGATCGTGACCGTCGCTGTCCTGGGCTGGAATGAAGTGAAGGTTTGCTGGCTTGTACCTGCACTCGATGGAATGATACCCAGGACTTTCTGCTGTACTTGAACAACGCCTTGAAAGAAGATGAGCAAATGATGAGCAAGCGTCCCCTTTAAGGATGCCTAGTAAGTGTGGCTTGGTTTCTGAGATGCCACATGTGGCAGGTTTGTAGTGGACTACACAGAATGTGAGATCCGAGGACTGAGATCAGTGAGGAGGAAATGGTATAATGGCGACAGCATGATCTGGCGAATGTGAATGCGAACTCTTCCCATTTCCCTTACCTCCTTGTGCTGCGGGCACATTTACAGCGACAATCTTGCTGTTTGCAGGAAGTGGCAGTTTGGTAATTACTTTTCCTGCCATAGTGACTGGGCTGCCTGTAATGTGGAACGTCTGCCCTGTGCTGGCAATGGTTGGAGCAGAGGTGGCAGCTGTGCTGGTGGCTAATGGGGTATAAGACATTTAATAAGCTTCAGATTTAAAATAACCAGCAACGTAGTGACTTCTAGGAAGGGCACCAATGCATGAAATGTGGCTATTTCTGTATTTTTAATAAAAACATTTCTCTCCACTCAAAGTGAACTATGTAGATGTTATAAGTGAAATAATGTAAGAGAAGAGCTTTTCTAATGTCATATGATGAATATTATCTGTAAGAAACCAATGGTCATAGCTTATTTGGTTAATCAGCTGCAGAAGGAAGACAATTTTCTCAAGAAATGTTATACTTTAGGGCTGGCAAGATGGCTCAGCGGTCTAAGGCACCTGCTTAGGCAGGCACAGGGGACCGGGGTTCGATCCCTGGCACCACACAGCGCACCAGCCGACCCTCAGGGTGGGCTGAGAAAGAAGAAAAAGAAATGTTTCACTTTAGTAAGTAAAGAATTGACAATGCTTTTTCCTGAATGGAAGCAATGTTTTATGCCATATGGCTGTGTACCTGAATTGGACTGGCCTTGCTTAACCCATGTAGCAAAAGTCTGATGAAAGCTCTTGTTTTGCTGGAATGTAACTGCTGCTGGAGATCCAACTTTGGTAGTCAGTACCATTTTAGTTCCAGGAGTAACTGAGCCACTGATGGGGGCTACCATAACTTTCTGAGCTGGAGAGACAGTGCTGGGTGAACTGCTTGTGGGGGCTGTAGTAGAAGCAGCAATGACTGCGGGCTTCTGCTGTTCCAATCGTTTCTAAAGAAGTCAAGGGAGAGAAAATGTAAACCAAAAGAGTTCCACACACACAGCAGTCATAATTTCTCTCACTCTACCTTTTGTTTTGCTTCCTGAAACAGGGCTTTGCTATGTAGTTAGACCGGCCTTGAACTCACTATGCAGCCCAGCTGGGCTCAGAGTCATGGTGATCCTCCTGCCTCAGCCTCCTGTGTGCGGGGACTACAGATGTGCACTAGCATGTCCCGCTGGTGTTTCACTCCTTATGAGAAAATGCGACTATCCAATCTACCCCTGAGGGGGCCTGGCCCTAGCTCAGTCCTTTAAGTGGCTGCTTCCACAAAGCTGTCAGCCTCAGGTTTCTGGAGTTCGAACCTCACAACTCTCCTGCTGGCCAAAAGTGCCCTGAAGGCATTCGAGGAAGAAAAAAAAAAAATAAATAAAACCCTTATTCCAATCTACCCCTGACTTTCATTTCCTGATGAGTGGGGTACTTTGCATGTGTCTACATCACATTTATTTCACTGAAAGTACTAGGTTGTTCACAGAAAACTGAAAATAGTAGAATTTTTCTGGCTGCTACAAATACCTCAACTTTCAGAATGAAAACAACAGAGATGTAGATAATTATATTTGAAAAGAGTAACACCCTGCTGCTCAGTGGTAAAATTTAGAGCAGACAGTATGTGACTGGAGCTCCAAAAGGTTTCTGTTTTACTACAGTACATTAATTTATCTAGTCATAAAGAGCACCCCACTCTTTAATATTGCTAGTCAGGCTGACAACCAATTAAACAAGGAGAAAATACTAAAACAATTTTTCTAGGCTTGGTATTCAGTTTGAACAAGAGAAAAACACATTAGATTATTTTATAGAGAATGGTGTAATATGACAGTTAAAACTGTAAGTTAGGGCCAGGGATGAAGCTCAGTAGCATAACGCCTGGCTGCTAAGTGCTGGGTCCCAAGTTTGATTCCCAGGACCAAAACAAACACACAAAAACAAACTACACATTAAAGATAATCTGCACCTCTCTTAGTATAAACTGCTGAAATTTTCCAACAGCATATCCATACTGGTCTGACAAGCACAAGCTTACACAGGTACAAGCAACAGGTAGGATGTATTGCAAACCTGGTGACAAATGCTTCATCTTCACTATTATATTTATTGCCCCTTCAGCCCCATAACGTTGCTGATACTGTCACTCTAGACATCAGGAAACCGAGGCTCACAGAGGTGGTATAATTGGTGCCAGCCTACACGGACAGTTCAGCAAAGAGCTAGGGTGTGCCAGGCCAAGTCCCCAGGCCGTGCCACCTTCCGCTGCTGCAACGGCTGCTCTCCAGCGTCACTACCCAAGCACTCCACTCCTTCCGTTTGCCCAAGTACAAGGTAAGGCGCTTCACATGACCTCTTATTCTTCATAACACAAAGACTTTAGTTCTACACAATTATGAGCCATCAGCTAACTGAATCAACTTTAAAAAGGCTACCCAGGACTGGGGAGACAGCTCTGTGGCACAAGCATGTGCCTGACCAGGGCAAGGTCAGGTGTGATCCCTGGGACCACGTGCTGTGCCACCCGAGACTGGGCGTGGCGGTGCACCTGGAATGCCAGTGCTGGGGCGGCTGAGACAGAAGGGACACTGTGAGTCTGAGCTGAGGAGTGAGACCCTGGAGGCAGCCCCGAGTAGCGCTCCACACCTGTAATCCCAGCGCCGTGGGGAGCTGAGGTAAGAGATTCGTACATGGGAGTGCAGACTGTGCCTCTGGGAGACACTACTTCAACATCTACAACCCTGAAGATGCAGCTCAGGGCTAGACTGTCCCTTGTCAAGCATGTGTGAGTCTCTGGGTTCAATTCTCAGCACCCCCGAGGCAAATAGCCAACCAAAAATTTCGCCACATTTAACACTCCTTTACTTGGAAGCTGTACCTTCAAAACTGCAGATGTAAGCTATTTAAAAATAAGTATTCATCAAAAACTTTAAAAGAAATACACTGTCACACTGTACAAATGACAAAATATAGCAAATAAAATAGAAAACAAAACAGGCAGGCACCTGGGCACAGTGGTGCACGCCTGCAGGCTCAGCTATCCAGGAGGCATGAAGACGCAGAGCTCATGCTCGAGGGTAGCCTGGGAGGCCTCTTCTCAGAAGAGCAAAGTAAGAGGTGAGGGTGTAGCTCAGCGGCACCCTGCCTGTGGCTTTCAGCCCCAGTACTGAACCATACCACACCATGCCCAGGCAATTGGGATTTAGGATAAATTCCCTGGGACAGATAACATCAGATATAGAACGCGAAATTGCCCTTTTGAGGATGAGAATCTATAGCAACTGAAAGACAAAAAAATTGCAACTTTTATACAGTTTTAGTACAATTTCTTCATTTTATTTGTTTAATGTATTTGGTATAGGGTTGCACTATACAGCCTGGACTTGCAGTGATCCTCCTGTGTTCAGCCTCCCCAGCACTGGGATTACAGGCATGCACCACCACACCTGGACTCAATGGCTAGTGTGGCATGTAGTGTCAGGGATTGAACCTCAGTCCCTGTACTTGCCTAAGCAGGCGCTTAGTCTGCCGAGTTGTCTTGCCGGCCCTAGTATAATCAATTTCTTATTTCTGTCTGTCTGCTTTTCTAAGCGCTAGGGATTGAGCGCAGATCCCCACCAAGCACTTTATCACTGAGCTGTATCCACTGAAGCTGCTTTTAAGCTATGAAATAGTTATAAATAAGACATACTTAGAAACAAACCCCACAGGAATATACAGATTTCCATGTTTTGGTGTGCATGAATTTGACTAAGAAGGTAAGCTCGATGTCCAGCAGGTATCCTACTAGACAACAACCACAGCTGTGGTGGCCTCCACTTGTAGCAGGAAGTCCACTGCCACCTTCTGGGCACTAACCTTAGCTTGCTGCTCAACTGCTTGGGCCTTTTCTTTCTCCACTCTGCAAGAAAAAACAGGGCAACTTATCAGAAACCACATGATCAGACATCTGGCATCTAATGGTGAAATGTTTTGATATCTGAAGCATACAAAATGGTGTCCCTAATCCCAGCTCACAGAGGCCCATCAGGCTGCTCATTTATTTATTTTCTTTCTTTTTAATGTATCTAGTACAGGGTCTACAGGGTCTCATGACACAGATCAGACTCGTAGTAGTCCTTCTATTTTCAGCCCCCCAAGCGCTGGGATTACAGGCGCGCACCACCACACTGAGTCTCAGTTGCTGCCTCAGTGTGCCCCTGGGGCGGGGGCAGTGGGGGGGATGGAAACTTGGTCCCTGTGTCTGCCTAAGCAGGCACTTTCATCTGCTGAGCTCTCAGGCAGGCCCAGAGAGCCGTTAGGAATGGGGCAGGACAGCAGGAGGTCAGCCACGGTGGTAACGGAAGCGTCCTGTGCGTTTCTAGCCGCTGGCAGGATTCGAGTGAGCCTCCAGCTCCACCTCCCGTCAGACCGGAGTGGACCAGACTCTCGGGGCTGCCAGTAGTTCTGCATTAGAGGGCTCGTACAACTGTTTCACTATGTATTATAATGTAATAATGATACACTATATATATTACAAAGTAGTAATAACAAATGTTATGGCTTAAATTACCCCCAAACCAGTCAGTAACCCTTAAAAAATTGTCTTTTACAGAACAAATCCACAGTGCCAAAGAGATTGCAGACCACTGGATACGAAAGCATGGAATTATTTCTATTTTAAAATACAAGTTTAAGATAATTAGAACCAAATGAGTGACACAAAGTGCGAAGACCTTTTAAATACCAGGTCTCTGGAATGCTGGGGCAGGAGGATGCAAAGACTGAGCCTCACCTGGACCACTGAGTGAGGTCTTGTTTCAAAAGTGCAAATGGGTTTGGAAATGTAGTCCAATGAGAAGGCCCCAGCCCAGGTCCAATGCCCAGAGCCAATGAAAAAAAAACACAAAAGAAGACCACAGATAACACTTAAAAATCCAAAGGTAGAAACAGGCTGTGGTGGCGCATGCCTGCAATCCCAGCACTTGGGAGGCTGAGGCAGGAAGTTCTGCAAGTTCAAGCCCACCCTGAACTGCATACCAAGACCCTGTCTCGAAAAACAAAAGAACAAAGGTGGAGTAATATTAACTAGACTGCACTGCATAAATTATTAAAGTGATAATTTTTAAATTCTGAAATAATAAAATCTTCAAGTATCTGACTTTACGCCAAGCATTCCTTTACCTCTCAGCAAATGCCCTGATTTCCCATAGTTCCAACTCTTCCTCTGCTACCCAGGTTTCAATAATAACAGGGCCAGTCTGTTTTGGTGTTTCTGGTCTCTTTGGCCGCAAAGCACTTGATCGAAGTCCTTTCCTCTGAGGCGTAGGTGTTTCTTTGGAAAAATAAGAGTAGTTTGAGCAATGCAGCTTTGACAATTAAAATACTTCTGGCCCTTCCTCTCATTTTAAGAAAGCACTGGTTGGCAAAAGTCTTCTTAGAGGGCCACAGGATGTAAATCACTTCAACCATGCAGGCCAGACAGCCTTGTCTGCAGCTTTTCAATTCTGTCTCCGTATCACAGTAGAGACCAAGACAGTATGGAACTAACTGTGGTTGTTGCAATCAAACCTCATGTGCAAAAGCAGGCAGTGCGCCAGGCCTCGTAGGTCACGGCTTGCCCTCCTCTGCCATGAAAGGACTATGAGCCGTGTGTGTGTGTGTGTGTGTGTGTGTGTGTGTGTGTGGTACCAGCGATTGAACTCAGGACGCTGCACTTACTAGGTAGGGGCTTACTGTACTGAGCACCTCCCTAGCCCAAGCCTATGAACCTTTAACTGGCCCCTTCTCCTCTGCCAGGAACTGCACTCTGATGACCCCCCGGCCACCCCCCCCCCGCCATGTGCCACAATCTAAGACCATTTCATCTTCTAGACACCAATAAAGATACAACCTGCTTCAAAAACCTAGCACACTCCTGTCCCACCACGCACTTCTATGCCAGTACCTATTTCCTACTCAGCACTGGGGAAGCAGGGGTTACGGCAGTCATCCAGCATTCAGAGGAGATAGGAACTAGATGAAAACACATAAAAATCTCCTAATAATACATATTTAAAAAACAGGTAGGGGCTGGGTAGATGACTCAGTAGAATAAGCACTTCCCTGGCAAGTGCAAGGGCCTAAGTTCAATCCCCGGTTCCACCAAAAAAAAAAAAAAAAAAAACCAGGGAGACGGCGTGGTGGTGTGCGCCTGTAATCCCAGCTCTTGGGAGGCTGTAAACAGGCAGATCACTACAAGTCCAATCTAGTAGTGAGACCCTGAACAGCTTGTAGAGCCTTCCCTAAAATACAGAAAAGAAAAATAAAAAAGGAAGCAGGGAGAGACAAGAGCTAGACAGACCATCACCATGCTCAGGGGACGCAGAAGCGGCACAATCAGGGGGAAGAACGCAAGGAAGCCATCGCGGCGGGTGGGACTGCGCAGCACTGCACAGGGCGATGTGGGGGTGGGACTGCGCAGCACTGTACAGGGCGGAGAGGGTTCCCAGAGCCGCGCTCTGGAGCCTGCACACCTCCTGAGAGCACAGCCTTCCAGTGACATCTCTGCTAATCAACTGGGCTGCCAAGTTAACTATGCCAATATTACACTATCAGGGCTGGTGAGATGGCTCAGTGGTCTAAAGCACCTACTTAGAACAAGCTAAGCAAAGCACAGGGACCACGGTTCAATCCACCAGCACCACATGCCAGCCAGCCCCGCCCCCTGGTGGCTGAGCTGGCCACAAACACACACACACACACACACACACACACATAAATAAATAAAATTTAAAAAAAAATTACACTATCTACTCGGATAGGTACTACTTTATTGGCATTCTTTCAAAAAGATCATTTTTGCTATTTATCAACATGAAATTCTAAGTTAATGTAATCAATTTTCAAAAATGGAATGTATGCATTTAGGGGGATTTTCATACAATGTTTCTATTGAAAGACACTGTTTTCTTTTTTAAATGTATATAGTTGGGGCCAGGAAGATGGCTGAGTAGAATAAGCGTTTGCCTGGCAAGCGCAAAGGCCTGAGTTCAATCCCCAGTTCCGCAAAAAAAAAGTACTTGGTTGTAGCAGGGTCTCACTGTACAGCGTGGACTTGTGGTGATACTCCTGCTTTCAGCCTCCCTGGTGCTGGGATTACAGGTGTGTGCCGCTATGCCTGGACTCTGGGGCTGGCTGAGCCGGCGCTGGTGGCAGGGCTGGCATGGCACGTGGTACCAGGGATCAAACTGTAGTCCCTTTGATTGCCTAAGCAGGCGCTTTAGGCAACTGCTGCTGAGCTATCTCCCCAGCCCCAACACACTGTTTTCTTTTTTTTTTTTTTTTCAAAGTTTTATTGATAAACAGATAGCAATGAGACAGTTTCAAATCAAATCGGAAGGACAGTTTCAACAAATAATAC